ACCCAGGAATAAAAGGGTACCCTTTTTTGATTCAACGGGGCTTAGAAGTGAACCGAAACCCTAAACAAAGAGCCGACTCTAGGTCCTCAATAGGCTTGCTCCTCGGAACTGTTTAACTGTTTGTAGGGCATGTCGTAAACGCCCCAGTCCCTGACTAAAGGCTCCTGTGTAGTACCTTCTTGAGGTAGTATACTCGAATCCCCTTAGCTAAACCAAAAAGGAGCGACATTAGAGCCTTCAGGTAAACCTTAAACCCTAAACCCTAAACCCGAAACCCTAAACCCTAAACCCTAAACCCGAAAAGGGTGAACAAACAGGGACAAAATCCAGACCAAAATACCCGCCGTGGATGCAGACCTTGTCGGCATTGCTCCCGGCCTGGCCATAAACCCGCCTCAGCTGGTTTAGGGTTTAGGGTTTAGGGTTTAGGTTTTCGGTTTTAGGCTTAGGGTCACTTTCCGAAACTCTGGTCCCTTTTGGGGGGGTTACCGAGTTGAGGGTTTAGGCTTTAGGGTTTATATACCTGAAGGCTCTAATGTAGTTTTTTTCGGGGCTGGTTTTCTGGGGATTCTGGTATACGACCCCAAAAAGGTACTGCATAGGCACATAGGAGCCTTCAGGTACTAGCATAAGGTGGCCCCTAATAATCAGGGCACCTTGGGATGCTCCCGCCCCTTAAACTAGCACGGTTTAGGGTTTAGGGTTTAGGGTTTCGGGTTTAGGGTTTAGGGTTTCGGGGTACATAGGAGCCTTTCAGCAAGGGGCATTGGGCTCTACATGGGAGATGCGGAACACTCAGCAGCAAGCGAGCTAGAGCTCCCGGGTAACATGCCGAGCGCACTTCGTCAACACAAGATGGGCCGCCAAAACCCTAAACCCTGAACCGTGAACCCTAAACCTTAGACCCTAGGAATCCTAAAGATAACCTGCCACCTGAACAGAACACCCTGAGACAAAATTTCGGGACCCAAACGACTGCAATAAAATCTCCAAACCTTCACCCCTGAACCCGGGCCCTGAGTCGCCAATGACATAAGAAGCTACATCTCGCCGAAGAAGACGTTTAAACTTTGGTACACACACAGTATTATGCTAAATTCGTATTGTACTACATCGTTGCATTGCTGTCATAATGGAAAAGCACAATGGGCAATTGCACTCACATGTTTTACGTTCATACATTAGCATTATTATCTTGATATACTAGAATCTCTGATATTTGAATGTTATTGTATCAGGATTCCTATAGTATGATATTAATAAAATAGATAAACAAATAAATACATGTATATATGTACGTATAAACCGTATGTTCTACGATTAAAAAACAAACTACTATACTATTCTATTCTTAGATTCTTATGCCATGTATGATTTTTTGTTTACAATATTATATTACTTAGTCATGTATCAATGTACTAATAAACAGGTAGGTATGTCCTTGTAATAAAAAATCTTTACATGATTCTATAAGAATGTGCATATATATATATGCAACTATATATATATATATATATGTATTGATACAATTATTTATTGATATGTATATATATATATATGAATATATAATATAGGTATATATAAATATTATGCATATGCTTATATGAGTTGATGAATAGATGATTGCTTGATTATCTGATTATGCCATATTATCCTAATGTACGAGTATCTCATTGCAGTACATTTGTGTACTACTATTTCATGTCATGATTGTACGACTCTATTCTGTTACTTGTATATTTATTATATTACTACTTGTAAAAAACCCTTCATCGAAGTACTGTTACATTACTATACGATAATCTTATTATATTACATGTTATCATATCATATTATACTACATGTGTTTATATGTTGGGCGGTATGGTTATATGACCTAGTTCTTATGTTTCTGATCGTTTGAGATTATGATATAAAAAACGTATATGAAATTCTATAATCTTTCATTACTAGTGATGTGAATATGACTAGGATTATTCTATTAAGTTGCTATGTTACAATGTTATAACCTAAAACGCTCGGAGATGCTACGACTTAATTCTATATCAATGGAAATGAGCGACACCGGACACGGGGGAGAGGAGGGGAGGAGTTGGGCAGGGGAGCGGGGGGAGGAGTGGGGGAGTAGGGGTGGGAGGGGGGGGTGCGGGCGAACTACCCCCAATGCTGCCATGATGCCGGGCTCCGGATGCCCTGTCCATCTGGTTATTCCGACGTCTGGCACCCTGGGATGATCAATAAAGGTTTAGGGTTTAGGATTTACGGTTCAGGGTTTGGAGATTCATCCGTGTTTCTAGATTGTTTTTACACTCCGCCCGCCCTCCATCCCATATCAATGATTTTGCTGCGATTTTGATTTCGTGCACGGGATCCTGCAATGGCTCTTGGCGTGAGGGGGAAACCCCTGATGTTAATGCATTCCGTCCTGGTTCAATGAACAGAAGGCATCTGTTCTGATAATGCGTGGAGGATTGGGCTGAGCTTCAAGGGTAGTTCTAGAGGGACTCATCAGGGCATCTGCATAGTTCCTGGCTGGTTGCAGGCTGTGTGAGATGCTTGTGACCTATCCGTTTCACTCCATGGTTCCTGGTTTTGGGCTAGCTTTGCAGGACTCTAGGCTCAATCATCGGCTAGCTCTTCGGGTAGGTCATGCATGGCTGAACGTTGTTGGGGGGGTAAGAATTGTCATTTTGTTCCTGAGCTTAAGTACTCAACCAAAATGAAAATGATTCTCAACAATGACCCAGAATTCAGAACAACTTCGCAACATTAGAACCTGCGTGTGGTGAGCCGAAGCATTACGTAGCTTCCATAGCTGACGAACCAATGCCTTGAGCAAAGTCCCCCAACCAGCCCAAACCACGCCTCAGTTCCCTAAACACTAAACCCTAAACCCTAAACCCTAAACCCCCTAACCTCCAAATCGTGAAGCCCCACATGGCCCTGAAAAGACCAAAAAGAGAAAAGGAATCGCACTCCAGAAAGCACCCCTGCAGCTGCCCTCCAGGTAGGTAGGGTTTAGGGTTTAGGGTTTAGGGTTTAGGGTTTGGGGTTTAGGGTTTAGGGTTTGGGGTTTGGGGTTTCGGGTTTGGGGTTTGGGGTCTAGGGTTTCGGCGTGGAATTAGGGTCTAAGTTCTAACGCCCCAGGCGAGACTCACGACGTCTCCGTCCACCGCACGCTTCGTTCTTGGTGTTCATGGTGGTACCATCGGTACAGACTCCGGAAAACACGCCTGCCACATGGCTTAGTGTTGGCTAGTAGGGAATGAGGGAATGCGGTACCATATATCCCCCTAAATATACCCTTTAAGGGATGATATTTCGGGCACCTCATTCCCCCATTCCCTACTAACCAACAGTAAGATGGCTTGCCGGCAAGGCTGGCAACCCTACCTAAAGGCTCCTATATAGTACCTTTTTTAGGGTTTAGGGTTTAGGGTTTAGGGTTTAGGGTTTAGGGTAGTATACTAGAATCTTCGATGACTCGCCCGAAAAAGGAACTACATTAGAGGCTCACGTAAACCCTAGCCCCTGTTGGTGCTCTAGGGTTAGTTTTTGGGCCAGGGTGTAGCAGCAACAAGCGTGCTGCTGATGTGGACGATATGGTTACTTCTCGAAAACATGGTCTGTTTTGGTGTCCTTACTATGAGCCCGTTTATTTTTGAGATTTTTAATGGCTGAACCCCCCCCCCCCCAACGTGGAGGCTGTGATATTAGAAGTTCTGAAGCTGAGGTTTTGTCAAATTCGAAGCCCTGAAACTTCGAAACTTTTCTTTTCAGAGCCCATAATTTGGAGAGGCTGGGGTTTAGGGTTTACGGTTTAGGGTCAGGGTGGAACCCTCAACGTTGAGGTTCTAGTAAGAAAGCCCTGCCTTGGAGGTGGCATTTATTTGGAGGTTCTGTAGGGTTTAGGGTTGGGGATTAGGTTTGAGGATTTAAGGGGAAGGGCTTCCAGCCAAGAACAGTGGACGACGCAAACCCGCAAAAGCAATCACTAGAGGTTTGTGTGCCCCCTAAACCCTAAACCCTAAACCCTAAACCCAAAACCCTCAAACTAACTGATCCGAGGTGCCATCCCACTTTGAGCCCGAGCAGACATCCATTTTCTTCCTTGGGCTGTGGAGGTTCTTACTGTTGGTTAGTAGGGATACCCTAAACCCTAAACCCCAAACCCTAAACCCTAAACCCCTTGCTGTTGGTTAGTAGGGAATGAGGGAATGAGGTACCCTAGATCCCGCCTTATAAACCCTAAACCCTAAACTCTAAACCCTATACCCTTTAAGGGATTATATAGGGCACCTCATTCCCCCCATTCCCTACGAACCAACAGTAAGCGGTGTTTGTCTCGGATGAAGGGTCCGGGCTCTGTTTAGGGTTCAGGGTTCAGGGTTCAGGGTTCAGGGTTCAGGGTTCAGGGTTCAGGGTTTAGGGTTTAGGGTTTCGGGTTTCGGGTTCAGGGCCTAGGGTTTAGAGACCTAAACCCCTGGACTCTTTGTGAGCCCTGAAAACCTTAAGCCCCGATGCCCTGGTAGCCTAGGAGGTGCACAGGTCGAGAAGAGTTAGGTTTTTTAGGGATTTTAAGGGTTTTAAGGGTGTTTAAGGGTCTTTTCAGGGTGTTTGGGCTTTTAGGGCTTTGGGGTTTTTAGGGTTTTTAGGGTTTTGAGGGTTTTGAGGGTTTTTAGGGTTAAGGGTAAGGTGCAGGAGGAATGGGATACCATTGCAACCCTAAACCCTGCTTTGGAGTAGACCCTGGAAAAAAAGTACACACATTTCGGTATAAGTAGCTATAATAGGAACCCAGAACCAAAGAAAAAGATCAAAGTATAGTACCTAAAACCCTGAATACCATTGCAGCCAAAGCAACAGCCACGTGCCCTCCGGGCAGATACTGGTCTTTTCACTGTCGGCTTTGTTGGAGATGAGATTGAGATCCCAGGACTGGCAGTGGATAGGACTTAAGGCTTTAGGATCCTTCTGGTTTAGGGTTCTGAGGGGTTTAGGGTTTAGGGTGATAGGTCAGGGTTTACTGGAGCATTGGGTAGGTCGCTCAAAGAGCTGCAACAAAACCGTCGCTAACCTAGTAGCAGGGTGCACAAAGACGAGTTTAGATCACAAGCTCTATTAAGCTACCCTGAGGAAGCTTTCTGTGGACGTCGGCTGGCGCAAGGATTTTGGTACGGTGGCAAGGTTTCAGTAGGTCGCAGTTCGTGCCAAAATCATTACCAACACTCTAGGCCCTCGGAGTGAAAAATCTATGCACATCCTGAAGCCTCCACCTTCACCAAGACTCGTTTTCGACTTGAACTATATCAGCTGTTCTTTAAACACTGCTGGCACCCTGTGCCAGATGCTATATACCATGACGGAGGGGCAAAAAGAGAGAGAGAGAGAGAGAGAAAGAGACAAAGAGACAAAGAGAGAACATCACAAAAACTGAGGGGTCGAAGAGGACCAACGCGGCAGACTAGCACCCGCATACACCTGCGAGACTGAGCCAAGCTACGTTCCTGCGACGACGCCCAGCCCCGTCGTAATTGATTCCTGCCCACATCCTTGCAGGTGTCACCTGGGCGAATGAAAACCCCTAACTCCTAAATGCTGTAAGCACCCGATTATCCACAGAAAACATTCGAGTGAAGAACTATGTTTGACTACGTTTGTCTGTTCTTGTTTGCCTTACTTTGGGGTAGACCCTGGAAAAATTATATACTCTTTAGGTATAAGTAGCTATAATCGGAACCCAGAACCAAAAAGACATATTGAAGTATTGTACTCCAAAACCCGGTTTGTAGACTGCCCCAAATGTGCATTGAAATGAAGCAGACCATGGACACAAGCAAGAACTAAGCCTAGCCAACATAGCCCATGTATTCGGGTACTTCGAAACATGTAAACCCTTACAACCGGGTTTAGGGTTTAGGGTTTAGGGTTTAGGGTTTAGGGTCTAGGGTACTCTTGTCAGGCTGCAAGGTGTAGTGTTGCGGTGCAGGGTGTACTAGGTGTTGGATTCAACCCTAAACCTCTAAACCCCTACATCCTTTTTGGGGTTAGGGTTTAGGGTTTAGGGTTTAGGGTTTAGGGTTTAGGGTTTTGGGTTTCTTGTTTAGGGTGATAACAACCCTGATCCCCAAACTCCTGAACTCCAAACTCCTGGATAGGTTCCTCTAGGTACCCAGAGAGTTGTTGATTGAGTTGAGGGGCAGAAGCCTAAGCCCCCGAACCTAAAACACTAGCCGTCACTAGCCTCAGGGTTCAGGGCCTAAACCCCTAAAGGGCGGGAAAGCTGAATCAGGTACAAATCCTAAACCACGAACCCTTTGAGCCCTAAACGCCGGTTTTGCTGTTTATCCTGAGCCACACCCAAACCCGTGAGGGCCACCCTAAACCCCAAAACCCGAGAAACCTTAATTGAATCCCTGTCGTTTAGGGTTTAGGCCAGGCACTGCGACGTACCCACTCGCGCCGCAGGTGGCATAATCCGACCACGCGTCTCCTCTGGGCTTGGACCTGGGTTGAGGGTTTAGGGTTTAGGGTTCAGGGTTTGGGGTTTAGGAGGTGCGATGCTCTCGGGTGTCTTTGAGTGCTTAGGGCTTTCTGGGTTAGAAGGGGCTTAGGGTCTAGGGGTTAGGGTCAGGGTTTTAGGGTTCATAGACTTTAGGGTGTATCGGGTTTGGGCGTTTGACGCTAAACCCTAAACCCTAAACTCTAAACCCTAGACCCTAAACCCCTAGGGTTGGTTGAGGGGATTGAAAATTGTAAAGGCCAAAGGCAAGAACGGAGGAGGCTGGTGATGTCAACGGCTTCTGACACACATTAACTGAACCACAAAGCCTCCGAAACCCCGTAAGCCTTACAAACCCTAAACCTTCCAAACCCCCAAACCTTGCAACAAACTTGTGGTTTATGTTTGCGTCTGGGTGTATTGGGCTTTACAACAGTAGCCTTGCTAGGTTCAGGGTAAGCGTGCCCCGTAAAATGCTGATTATAAAGGGCTCCTGAGGCGGTGACCTCACAAGGTCCAGAAAAAAAGGGCCCTCTTTTTGAAAGCTAACCAGTCAACATGAAGTCCGGAATTTACCCAGCCAAAAAATGTGTTGAACATGACTTTTTTGCTGCTTTAGGTTTAGGGTTTAGGGTTTAGGGTTTATACCGAGGTGGGATCACAAGAAGGACTTGTGTGCCACCCTTGCCGGGCGCGGATCTAGCGTTTAGGGTTTACTAGGCAGGCCATTGGGATGTCCGGCTTTCTTTTTTGAGGTTGAGGGTTTAGGGTTTAGGGTTTAGGGGTTAGGGTTTAGGGTTTAGGGTTTAGGGTTTCGGGTTTAGGGCTTATGGCGCAAAAAAAGTCATGGCTTGACAAGCCAAAGGAGTCTAGGCCGAGTAGAGAGGAAGGCGTAGGGCTTAGTGTGTTTCCCAGCTGTCTCCGATACACCCACTAACTGAATTCAAGTATGGTTAGGGTTTAGGGTTTAGGGTTTAGGGTTTAGGGTTTTGGGTTTTGGGTTTTGGGGTTTTCAGAGGGGCTTGAGTAACCCATGGCAGTACACGGTAGGCCCTTTGGGGTTCCAGATTCTTATGTTTTGTTTCAGTTTTGATCAAGAGCGAGAGTTGCTAGACGTTGCTGTGGCTTCCACGTGTGACAATACAATCACAGACAATACAGCCGGAGTCTCAGGCGGGCCCCAGAGCCTAAACCCTAAGACCTAAACCCTAAACCCTAAACCCAAAACCCTAAACCCGGTTTGCCCTAAACCCGAAACCCAGTTTCTCTCAGCTTTTGTACAGCGGCAGCTGGGGGCTCTCAAATTCTAGTCTGGCGTATGATTGCTGAAGGCCAACTAGTACCTGAACCCGTACTTGGCTGCAATCAGGAGGGTAGCTATAAATTAAACTTTTAGCTGCCTTAAGAAGAAACCCAATAAACCCCAAAAAGGTAAGGATCTAAAGTTACAGTAAAGTACCACAAAGCGTAAAGTGCACAGGGGCTTATATCCACTGGCAAGATCAGCAAAATCGATGCATCCAATCCCCCTATTTTTTGAACCTCGGTGCTCTCCACCACAAGTCCCACCAGGGCGAGGTTCAGGGTTCAGGGTTCAGGGTTTAGGGTTTAGGGTTTAGGGTTAGGGTTTAGGGTTTAGGGTTTAGGGTTTAGGGCTTAGAGTTTAGAATTTAGGGTTCAGGGTTCAGGGTTTAGGGTTATCTCCCCCGTACACCCTTAAGCAAGGACCATGCTGCGGGTATGTAGGCTTGGGGCTCTCACGTAGGTCCTCTTTAGGCTTGTTATAGAGGGTTCAATTATACCACCCCCCACCAGTAACTCCAAAATTGCAGCCCTTTTTGGGGTATGTACTACTAGACCCAACCAGGGTTGAGGGTTTAGGGTTTAGGGTTGAGGGTTGAGGGTTTAGGGTTGAGGGTTTAGGGGTGAGAGGAGGTGCTGACTATATCAACTGTCCTCAAAGGTAAAGCTGGGGTTACGGACTTCTCGTTGCCCACCTGATGCGCAGGGCTTAGGGTTTGGGGATTAGGCCTTAGGGCTTTTAGGGTCTCGGAGGCCCCAAACCCGAAAGCACAAACATCAGGGCTTCTGGAATTTACTTTCAGGCTTCTGGGCACCTTTCAGGCTTTCAGGAGGAGTGCTGGAAGTTTGCTTCTGTGTCACGGGAGACAAAACCTACAAGACTCTAAATGCTGAGGCCCGCAATCCCCAAACCCTGAAAGAAGCAGTTCTTGCTTTGTTGGGATGCTGGTGTGATCGGTCATGGACTCGTCGGGCGATTGGGTTGGACCAAGATCGGTAAAGAGCTCTTTTTTGAATTGTTTTTTTTGTTTTTTTCTCTCTCTCTCTCTCTCTCTCGCTGTCGCTCGCTCTCACTCTTTCATCGTTCTCTCTCTCTAAGGTCTTTTGGGCGTGTGCAAAGAACTACGTATAAAAGAGCACACGCATGAACTACTATAATTACAAATTATGAAATTCTGAATGTGGTTTTCGTGCGCCCCTTTGCTCCTTACAAAACCCCTTAACAATAGTAAGATAACAGGTGAGTCAATAAAGTGAATGAACAAGTAAATGAACAAATGAACCTGCAAAAAGGGTCAGAGGGATGTGTAATTTACAAGGCCCTTTTTGCACACCCTTTTAAACTTGAGAATGGCTGAAAATCGAAACTCACAACCAGCAAACTTTCTTGTTTAACCCAAGTCCTGACCCTGGACCTACTTAGAGTAAACCGACTACTCAATTCAAACACACCAAATGCCCTCCAACATTTCGAACGCACCTTCTTTGGAAGGTAAAGACAAACCCTAGACCCACGCCTTAACCTGCAAACCCGAAACCCTGAACCCTAAACCACACCCAAAACCCTAAAACCAAAAACCCAAAAACCCAAAAACCCTAAACCCTAAAACCCTAAAACCTTAAAACCCTAAGACCCCAAAACCCTAAACCCTAAACCACCTCCCCACCCGCAGTCCCCCCCCCCCTCCCCTCGCCCGGACGTCCGCGCCAAGGCCGGTGGCGCCATATGCTCGGCACTCGCCACCCGATGTGACCTGCCTGGTTTAAGGTTCAGGGTTCAGGGTTCAGGGTTCAGGGTTTAGGGTTTTAGAGGACAGCTGAGACTAGAAGGAGTGGGGGCTCAAAGTTTTAACCCTGACCCCTAAACCCTAAAGGCTTTAAACCCTAAACACTTAAAGCTACAAACCCTAAACCCTAAGACCTAAACCTCTCATCAAAGATCAAAGATTACGATGTGCCGAGCATCTCCGTCTTGGAGGTTCAGGGATTTGTGCTGAACATGACATGTTCGGATCTCTCATAGAGGGGCGGCTAGGAACTTATCTAGGGTTTAGGGTTTAGGGTTCAGGGTTCAGGGTTGCCCGATAAGCCGAGGTTTGCCAGGAACCGTCCTTTGCAGAAAGGAAACAGGGGTACTAGCTACGAGTGTGCAGCCGGTGCCGAGTACCCCATGCTATCCCTTGTACACTACAACCGTAGGGTTAGGGTTAGGGTTAGGGTTCTGTTCATTCCCTGTAGGTGAATATGCAGGCCCCAGCCCCAAAACCCTACATATCTGTTCGAATCAAGGATATGTCAGGTGCTGGCACTACAGTTAGCAGAGTGCAGGGGTCGTTGAGTTGAGATGAAGCAGAGATTTAGGGTTTGGGGGTTTAGCATCGAGGGTCTAGGGGATGAGAAGGAGGCTTGCTGAGGCCTTTTGTGGGCCCTTTCACTCACTTCCCTTACCACTCCCCCCCCCCCCCCCCCAGGTTCGTTATGCAGATTCCTCGGCTAAACCCTAAACCCTAAACCCTAAACCCTAAACCCTGAACCCTAAACCCTAAACCCTGAACCCTAAACCCTAAACCCTAAACCCTGAACCCTAAACCCTAAACCTAAACCCTGAACCCTAAACCCTGCCTTTGAAGTCTTCGGGCCGGGGAGGGCTTCAGGGTTGGCTTACCTGAAGGGCTCTAATGTAGTTCCTTTCTGGCGTACGTATACTGGGTTCTACTACCCCAAAAGGGTACCAATTACATGAGGGTTTAGGGTTTAGGGTTTAGGGTTTAGGGTTTAGGGTTTAGGGTTTAGGGACCCAAGATTACACCTTTTAAGGTCTGCGTCGGACCTCGCACCTCACACTGAAGCCTTACGCGCAAAGTCATCCCAAGCTTGCCCGACGACTCCTGTGTAGCCTTCCGGTGTCCCGAAATCCTGCACATCCAAAGCCCTAAACCCTGAACCCTGAACCCTAAACCCTAAACCCTAAACCCTACACCCTAAACCCTAAACCCTAAACCCTAAACCAAAACACTCATGCAGCGAGCTTGCAGCCAAGGGTGCACGCCAAGGGGATCTTTGTTGCTGGGCGCGATGTCGGTCACAGCTTCGCATTTGACCAGCGTTCTTCCTGCGGGGCGAGGGGGGGGGGAGAAGGTCGGGGAAGAGGAAGGACACGATAATTCGGTGGAAAGTTTGGGGCCTTTGCAGTTCAGGCTTTCAAGTCTTGTTCAACAATCCCTCGGTATCCCGGGCCTACCAAAAGGCTCCTAAAAGGTTCCTTTTTTGGGGGTATACTAGAACGCCCTAAAGGTAACCCTAAACCCTAAACCCTAAACCCTAAACCCTAAACCCTAAACCCTAAACCCTAAAGGAGCCCTTAGACAGGGAAGCGTGCATCCCGCCTGAAAGTAGCTTAACGTAGGTCTGACCAGACTTTAGGGTTTAGGGTTTAGGGTTTAGGGTTTTAGATAGGGTTTATACAGGGTACTGTAGAGGTGTAGTTCCCTTTTGGGTTAGGTATAAGGGGTTCTAGTATACTACCCCAACAAAGGTGCCTCATAGGAGTCTTTAGGAAAATAGGGTTCATGCAGGGTTCCTGTAGAGTTAGAGGGTTCAGGGTTCAGGGTGCAGGGTTCAAGGTTCAGGGTTCAGGGTTCAGGGTTTAGGGTTTTAGGGGTTGGGGTTTAGGGTCTAAGCCCTAAACCCTAAATCCTAAACGGGTGCTATGGGATTTGGAGTCATTCAGGGTTAGACTCGACTTGAGAAAGTCCCAGGCTTAGGTTTAGAGGCCAAAGGTTGAAAACACCACCCGACGCCCATACTGAAGGTTCATGGCTAGGTATGACTAGGGCTACAGGTACCCTAGAATAGGTCAGAGCCAGATCGAGTTACATTTGCCTTGCTTCTTACCCCAGTTTAGGAGAACCGACGAACCTGCCAAGTAGACCTCGAAGCGTTGGCCCCCTTGACCAGACAAGGCAAACCCTCAACCCACTCTGCCTCTCAATCCGAAACCCCCTCGACCCTAAACCCTAAACCCGAAAGTCCTCAAAAACCCTAGACCCTAAACAAGAAAGTCCTCAAAACACCTTCGCCCAAAAAATCCAGCGCCTGAAAAAGTTGCAGGCCGGAGAGGAAATACCCTTCCCTCACCCCCCCCCCCCCCCCCCCCCCGCACAAAACTAACCCTAAACCGTAAGCCCTCAACCCTAAGCCTAAACCCTAAGCCCAACACCCTAAACCCTAAACTCCTCCCTAATAGTAATCGCCAATCTCCCTACTGCAACCTCCCTGAACATCATGAAACCCTCAAACCTCACGAACACCCTCCCTGAAAACTCCCATGCAGTACCTTTTTCGGGTAGTATACTAGAACCGGAGCTACATTAGGAGCCCTCAGGTAAACAAGCCCCATACGCCCAAAACCCTAGAACCGTCAAAGCACGCACCCTAAACCCTAAACCCTAAACCCTAAACCCTAAACCCTAAACCCTAAACCCTAAAGCCTAAACCCTAAACCCAGAACCGTCCTGATGGGCAGCTCTTTTTCGCAGGGCAGGAGGACCCGTCGCAGCTCTGCGTGTTCGAGCTCCTGGGGCTGATGATTAAAGCTCCTAGGGCTGATAATTTAAACAAACCAGGGTTTAGGGTTTAGGGTTTAGGGTTTAGGGTTTAGGGTTTAGGGTTTAGGGTTTAGGGAGCGCTTTTTGGGCTTAGGGTTTAGGGTTTTAGGGTTTAGATGTTTGCCTGAAGGGGTTCGAATGTCGTTCCGTTTTGGATACTAGAACCCCTATACGTAAACCAAAAAGGTACTACGTTAGAGCCTTCGGGTAGAGTTCAGCCTGAGGTTCACGGACATACAGAGCGCAACTCCACCCTGAAACCCAGTCCATCAACACATTCCCCCAACCCTAAACCCACCAGCGCACCAGCTGGCATTGTGATTCCGGATTGAGTTGATCAACTTGAAGGCATGTAGGGTTAGAAGAGGTTTCCAACCGAGTGTAAATACAAGTGGGCGTCGGGCTTTGGGTACTACAGCTGCATACCCGACTTCTAGGTTCCACCTCCAGATACAACTACACATGAACCTGCAAGAAGTGATGAGATAGTCACGTTGGACATGCAGTTCCTCTAACTCTAGTAAACCCTACACCCTGAACCCTACACCCTAAACAGTAGTAAGCGGCTAAATAAATTCTGCTACAGGTGAACAACCTTTGCCTATAGAAGCATGGTTGAACATGGACTTCATGTGAGCCTCTTGTAACCCTAAAGCCTGTCTGGCCGCAAACTCCCAAAACCCGAACCCACGGTCAAGGATTTTTGGGAAATTGAGCTGCAAGCTTTGGGGGGCCTAAACCCTCAACCCTAAACCTTAGAAACCGAAAACCCTTAACCCCACACCCTAAACCAACCCTAAACCCTAAACCCTAAACCCTAAACTCTAAACCCTAAACCCAAAAACAAGCCCTGGACTCCGATGCGCGGTGCGACGCACCGTAAATATCCAAGTCTGGAAACCAAAAACTCTTAGGGTTTAGGGTTTGGGGTTTAGGGTTTTTGGATTTAGGGTTTAGGGTCCCAACCCATAGGGCTTTAAGGTTAAGGGTTTATAGAGTTATAGGGGGGGTTAAGGTCTTATCGTCGGGTAGTTGCATAGTCCCTTAGTATGGCCCTTAAAAGGGTACCCTTTGTACACCCCTTTACGGTTGGGGTTTGGGGTTTATGGGCCCTTAAAAGGGTACCCCTTATCCCTTTCGGGCTTTAAGGTTTAGGGTTTATTGGGCTGTAGGGATGTTAAGGTCTTAAACCATATGGGGGTTGCGGAGATTCGGGTGTTTGCTGGGGTTCTTATGACAGATAAGGGAATGGTACTATTTGGGGTCTATATTGCGGGTCCCTTATTGTCGTAAACCCCATATACAAACACTACTCTTACGTGGCCACCGCGCCGACACAAGGAATCGAGACCTCCCGGGCCCTGCTTTTGTGGCTTAGGCTTTAGGTAAGGCTCCTCTGTAGTACCTCTTTTCGGCCAGCATACTAGAACCCCACCAAACCCTAAACCCTAAACCTTAACCCAAAAAGGAACTACAGTGGAGCCTTCAGGTAGGCTTTCAATTTCGGGGTGTTGCGCTAAAGTCTGGGCCCTCGGGCTTTACAAAAGTGCCACGACAGAGTCCATATCTTGGGATATGCCGCACTGTATTAAAAGGGAGCACAAACCCTAAACCCTAAACCCTAAAGCAAAAACACCAGCTGAAGCAATGCAAAAAAGGCCAGGGAGTGATCAGACGTTTTGTACCGAAACCTGTGCTGTTCCTGATGCTGTTTCTTTCTGCCTTTTGCGTGCTCCTGCTGCTGCCGTTCTGCTCCTGCTTATGCTGTTTCTGCTTGCGCCTTTCTCCTGCTCCTGTTTGTGCTATTTCCTCCAACCCCGCCGCCCTCCCCCCCCCCCCCCCCCCCAAATTCAAAACTCAGTCAAGGCTCCAATGGACTGACACGCCGGAAGAGACGCTTGGGAGAGCTTTGACCTGCAACAGTTCAAGAGCGCATATGGGGAGCTCTCTAAATGGAGGACCGCCTACCTGGAGTCTGTAATGTAGTCCCTTTTTGGGTCACGTATTGGGGATTCTAGTATACTACCCCAAAAAGGTATTACATAGGAGCCTTCAGGTAATTTCGAGAACCACCCATGTGAAGAGAGCCATTTGCTGAGCTGTTGGGCTTGCAACAGCTCTGCCTGACAGCAAAAAGGTGCTCTGGGGTTGAGGGAAGTTCCACACCCTAAAAATACCACGGGGTACCCTGTAGGGTCCACACGCAGGCAGGGCGACAACCATTCAGGGCTTGATCGAAGTCATGTGCTCTTTTTGGGTACGGAATAACATGACATACTCGAATAGATGGGGGTTTCCGAAACAGGGGGGGGGTGCTTATTGTAAGGGAAGCCTACTATTTGGGGGTCTATCTTCTAGGGGTCCCTTACTTTCGTAAAGTCGCATATGCATGGATGGATGGATACTGGCTGAAACTTACCTAAAGGCTCCTATGTAGCACCTTTTTGGGGTAGCATACGTACTAGGACCCCATAAACCAAACCCAAGAGGAACTACATTGGAGCCTGCAGGTAAGCTGCCATGAAGAAGGCGTCATCCCTCCTTCCTTCTCAGCCCCTCCCCCGTCGTCATCGGGGCTCCAGTTGGAGTTCAGGTTCCGAACCCTAAACCCCAAACCCCAAACCCTAAACCCCAAACCCTAAACCCTCAATGCCCCGCTTCCACTAACCTAAGGCCAAGGGGAGCCATCAACCCTGGACCTGACTTCACAGGTGCGTCTGTAGTTATTAGTAGGGCTATAAGAGCCCTAAATAAGGTGATCACCAGATATAGCTTTATTGACCTTATACCATTCACCCCGCTTATAAGTACCCCTGAACCTCCAAGTATAGAACCTCAGCCTAAACCCTAAACCCTAAACCCTAGACCCCTATTTTTGTAAACTCCCATACTGCGGGCCTTGATTCGATCCAGCTCATGGAGTGTGGTGCTTCTCTCTTACAAGGTGAAACCCAGACCAAGAGCAACCTATGTATACCACTCACTAACAAACAACTTGGTAGCCCAGTAGCCATCTCGTAATAAGGGTGTCCTTTTTTGGTTGCTTACTTCATAAGGGAAGTCAGAAGCAAACAGAAAGGGTAAAGGGTACGTACCACCGGGCGGCCAAGCTAGCAATCAAACAATTCAGGCACAACTCCCTGTTTCATGTGGCCCATGTCCCCTATACGACTTCGGGTACCAAGATTCGCCCATGATTTAGAATCCCGGTTTGGACACGATCCCATGACAAGGATATCGGCTTGTACAATAAGAGCTGAAGCCTATAGCCTCAACCCTGCACCCTCCTCCGCACCCGTGAACCCCAATAAGCCCTATGCCTATAAACCCTGATGAACCCTAAACCCTAACCCTAAACCCTAAACCCTAAACCCTAAACCCTAAACCCTAAACCCTAAACCCTAAACCCTAAACCCTAAACCCTAAGCCCTAAGCCCTAAGCCCTAAGCCCTAAACTAAACCCTACTAACTCGCCTTGAAGCTGACGGTGTACTGCATGCCTTGGAGAAAGCCTGGGAGGTCCTGAAAGGGGTTTAGGGGTGGAGATTCATGGGTTTAGGGTTTAGGGTTTTAGGGCTTAGGGTGTAGAAGTTGGCTTAGGGGCAGGTACTACTTTACAGCTGGCTACATTTTTTCTAGAGGATACTTATAAGACTGCTTATAACTGCCAACGAACCTTCAAGCATAGGCCCCGTAAAGCTTCCCTAAACGCTAAACCCTAAACCCTAAACCAAGAGTTCCCCAAGCAGCCGGGCATCTTGGTAGGAAAACTTCGGGCTCCCCCGAGGAAGTTTGCTTGATCTACATAGTTGCTCAGGTTTAGGGTTCAAGGCTTCGGCAGACGGTATTCTGAAACCCTAAACCCTAAACCCTAAGCCCTAAACCCTAAACCCTAAACCCGACTACCTGCGTCTGTCACCCCAAACTCCCAGATTCAGAAGCTCCAAACATCTGAAACTTGCCACCCGAAAGGACCCTGCGCCCAGCAAAGGATCTGAAGCTTCAAGCCCTCTACCCTAAACTCGAATGCTACACCCTACCCGCTAGGGGATAGGGTTTAGGTTTGGGGTTTGGGGTTTGGGGTTTCGGGTTTAGAGTTCAGGGTTTGGAGGACAGGATTAGGGGGACTCTTGGGGCTATAGACCCTCTGAATAAGGTCCCTGTTCAAGAAAGCCAGAAGAAGGTTCAGAAGGGCTTCCTTTCAAGGGTCCCCCTTGTCCTACCAAGGAGCCGTCCTACCCAACCTCCACGCCCGGCCCCCCCTGACCCAGCGCACGCCTCTTTCTTCTCCTGGTTGCCAGCAATCGAAAAACTTTTAAAGCCGCCTGGCCGAATTGCAGTCTTGGCAGGGTCTCTTGAGGGCGTTCTCTGTTGCATGGCTTCGGGGTTCAGAATTCAGGGTCTACACTTTGTAGGGTTAGGGAGTCCCAAAACTCGCCCTAGTTGTTTCTGGAAGGGATGTAGAAGCACTGGTTCGAGTGTTGGAGGTACAGGGGCCTGTAGCGACACATTCCACTTAAACTCGCCAGAAAACCTGAAGCAAAACAAAGGCCGCAATCCTGGTTCCCTACTTTGGAGTATATAGACCCTGTTAGGGTTTAGGGTTTAGGGTTTAGGGTTTAGGGTTTAGGGTTTAGGGTTTAGGGTCTATACTTTGCTAAGTAGAAGTAGCTATAATCGGACCCCAGAACCGAAAAGAGTATTCAGGTATAGTACTCCAAAACCCAGGCTGCCCGTTCTGCCCCTCCGGGCAGGCCCATACATGGCATCCTACGCTGCACGAACCCTCGAAATCCTAAAGGTTTAGGGTTTAGGGTTCAGGGTTTAGGGTTTAGGGTTTTTTGGGACACGTAGAGGGGCTATTCTGCCGACGTCCCCCTTGTGTAACAGAGGACTCAGAAGGTAACCCATGCAGAAAATATCCCACCTCCTCTCCATGTAACTTCCTAAGCCGTAAGCCCGCAACGAGACCCAGTGCCGTAGGTCCTCTACTATTTGCTTAAGAACCCCAAAAGAATAGAATAATAATCCCTATTCTACCCTGAATAAGGAAGATTTGTTTTGTTTTTTTCGGGGTTCTGAAGCCATT